GAAAAGTCGAGGTTCATTGCCTATTCTAGAAGGCTTGAAAGAACAGCATGTTCGAATGTTTAGCTTTACGCATCATTTGTTAGCACACAGAATTTCTGCAAACTTGTCCTCGACCTACGTTTCTTTACAAAATTAAGTTGTTAATTAATTTCGGTAATCATTGAAACGCTGTCAGGCATAGCGAAAATTCCATGCAAAATTATTTGGGGGTCTCAGAATTTCCTCTAATATAAATGAATGATAATTGTTTCTTCGTCTTGGGAAATGTGTAATGCAGGCGTCTTTCGTAAAATTTAGGTAGTGTAGAGTTAACATTAAAAAAAGTTTCTTTACAAAGCGTTAGAGTGTTGATCTGAAAAGTCGGTGACAGTATTTTTTTTTTTCTTTCTTTCACTAAATATTTTCAAATATAATTCGCTTATATCAGATTTGGTTTTAAAAGAAAAGAACCAATATCTTCGCGCTTACTTAGCGTATTACTTCAGTATTCTTGGATTTCTACTTTATCCTTTTACTAGTTTTCGTCTTTTTCTGAAAATTTTCCGTTCTTTCAGGCTATATTTCTTGCTTTTATTTGCAACTATTTCTCCGTGGTGATTTCGACTTAATACTTTCTAACATACAATTTTATTCTTCCTCTACTTATATTGAATATTCTACTGGTTTGTTTTTTTTTGTATGCCTTTTGGCTCTTTCGAAACTTTTTTTTTTTTTTTTTCATCCTTTTGTTTTGCCATTGCTTTATTTTCTAACTTTTCTTATCACGTCATTTTTATTCCAAGTCCCCAATGTTTCCTAATTCAATGTTCATCCAATTACAGTTGTCCATTTCATTAGAAAATAATTAAAAATACTTCTCTGAACGCGTAGGATGTTGGCGTCAAAGTCAACAATGGTTACACACTTCAACACATGAAATGCACCTAAGCAAATTCTATCTTTGAAGATGATGTCAAACAATCGATAATTAATAAAACATTTTAACATGCAAAAAAAGGAAAAATGAACTGAAAATATAATACAGTAAAACGATGATTAAATATTTAATGTTTTGCTTGATTTCGGTCCTCTGTTGATAACATCAAAATTAAACAAAGAGAGCAAGGGATGCAATGTTATTTTCGTCTCTAAGAGCAGAGAATTGTGGTAGTTGCTGGAACATGTAAGTTTCTAAAGCGGTAGTTATTATTTCCTTAAGGAATAGGCATCAAAACTAACTTATAGCTACACAAACACAAATTTATAACCAATTTGGTGTCTTAATTAATCCCAGTAATTAAATCTGCATCAAGACAGGTCCTTCCAATCTCAAAAGGTTTATATAAAGATTTAAATTTAGTACATCTGTAGACATTTTGGATGTCAAAATTTGAATTGGTATATAACATAAAAATATAATTTAAAAGTATGCTGTATTTACTGGTAAAAGTGCTCAATATCAGTGAGAGCGTATGTAAATATAAAAGTGGACACTGAGGTAAAAACTGAATGACGATAGTGTTTAGTGCTTGAACGCAATCTTCAGGCTATGTGTGTTGGCCTGGAGATTGCATACAAACATGTATTACTGTCATTGCGAGTTCAATGCCAGAGCCGAGCAGAGTGTACTTAAGCTGTGAAAACAGAGCGAACAATAATAAAAATAAGAACTGGAGATATACCTCCGACATCGGTAGTTGAACGGGAACAATCTACCTCCATAGATTATATAAAGGGTTCAGTTCAGAATTTCTTGTAGGTTACCCGGATCGATATACAGCTGATGAAGTTTGGAGGGGACAACGATCGAAACGTTGTGATAACAAAGGTGATGAGAATAGTCAATGTAAATAGTGATAATTACCTCACCCCAGAAATTCAGACAAATTATAGAAGCTTGAAAAATGAAAACTAAATGATTTAAAAAGGGAAAGAACATGTGCACGAACCATTTATTGACAACTGAAATATGAATTTATTTCTAATAAACAATTTCTGGTTCAGTCTTTAGTTTTCATAAGGGCCAATGAAAAGGTCGGGGAGACGGGGTGCGAGTGTGTTTCCAAGAAATAGATATATATTTATGCTAACATTTGCCGAGATTATTTAAAAATTAAGTCAATATTTTTAGATTTAAAAGATTTCAGGCTTAACATGCACTGTCTGGTAAATAGACATACGCAATATCTACATCTGCCATCAGAGAACATTCTTCTTATGGACATTAAATATCTGAAAGTTCTCCTTTAAGTAGATATTTTATGGGATTATTCTTTTATTGACACCAAAACTCACAGGCAGAGCTGCCTCAGTATTACAATCAAGCATCTTTTCACGACATTAAATCGATGATGGGTCAAGTCTGATATGATCAGACCTTTCCAGTGCTGCTGAAGAATTTATAGTATATTTAATAAAAAGCACTACCTTCAGATCTGGAACTTTAACAACAAGAAAAATCTAATTTCTGGTATAGTTTATTTTTTTTGGGAATGGCCATTGTAAAGAGAAAATTCCGAAATTATCTTTTATAACCAGAGTACTGAAAACTTTTTTCAGTATTTCTGGATAAGTATGCGTTTTTGGAAACAATATATTCTACCTCATAGATGATGTGAACATTTCATCTATAAAATTTTTATTCTTGTATTAGGATGAGACCATATTTAAATCAGATGCCGGGTTAATTTCTCGGAAATTATCTCTGTATTTTATTTATAAACGAAAGTTACTCTGAACTCAGCGATGTTATGACATCTTAATGCAGTAAACAGAATAATATTTTTATCTTAAGCATTCTTAGAAGATAGTAAGTGATTATGTACTTTCCAGCAGTGGTGCCAATGTTTGCCGACACATTTCGTTGAGAAAAGTTTCTGTTAAAAACATTTACCATAGAGCATGAGAGTATACGTAAGGATTTTAAATAGAAACATTTACGTATTTTGTTTTGCGTCAAAGTTGTTTGTGTTAAAAAAAAATCATTACAGACTGAAGGTAAACAAGTGTCAATTCAATATCTTTTTACTGGCGAAACAGAATTTAGTTGTAACATGTTCGTTCTTATTTTGTTTTATGTACTAGTTACAAGACTTCGTACATAATTTTCTTGTAGAGCCTTAAAAGCTTTACTATGACTACACGTTCTTTATCTGTGTGAAAAATTTCCTTTCATTAAAGACATCTTCCTCACCGCACATTTTACACTTTGTATATTTTCTAATGCAAATATATCAAAGATTAAGAGAAGTGAATCAATTCTATTTATAACTAAAAATAGAAAATTTATAACTTTTCTACTTCAGAATTGTGTCTCGTATATTTCTTCGGAAACGTTTTTCTCTGATCCTTTTGTCTTCAGTTACCTGCCATGATGAATTTTTTTTTTAATGTCACTTATCTGGGGTATTGATTTCAGACATTATCGGTTTCCATAATTACTCAAAATATCAATATTTTGTTACTTGATTTTCAGAAAAAAAAATAGATCTCTTCCCCAAACGATATTTTGAAATACCAGAAGCCATTGTCTAATACGTCAAAAAGAGATCTCGAGTTACTCACTACTTGTCACAGAAGCATACCTGAAGTAACTAATGACACGATAAATTATAACGTACTTTTTTGCATTATGTTTAGTGATTACTAAATATTTTTACATTTTGAAAAAAAAAATTAAATGCAGTCTTTGTCAAAATAAAGTTAACTTAGCGTTTGGCTATGTAAAGCCACCAACCATATGTGAACGTAGATGTTCAGTTTATGAGAGATACCACTAAATATCTTCATTGTTTGATTTATTAAAGTGTTATTACACAGCAATACCGATAAAACCCTATTTCCATGTTAAACAAATATCTATCAATATTAGTAATAATCCTGTTGTATAAATATGATTATGTGCTTTAATCTATTAATGAATTTATTTTAATCCGACAATGTGTCATGCAAGCGTCATTTTTAGGGAGTACTTGTTTGAATAGACCCCCGCCATGTTTGTTTTTGTAAACAAAATTAATGTTGCTCTTTCGATGATCTAAGCCGGTAGAACTCAATTACCCTAAGAAGCAAAACAAAAAAATCCCCCCCCCATAAATCATGGTTGTCTATTTCCACATGTACCCACTACAAATGACGTTTATATTAATAAACATTATTGTATATATGCAAAAAAAGAAGTCTAAAGTGATCACGTGTTATATAGCTGTTAATAAGCCAATCTCAGAAGCTATTGTTTACGAGTATTATCATTTGATGCACAGTTGTTATTGCTTTTTCCAGATTATTCTAAGTTTAGTACATGAGGGGAATTTATTTTTTTTCTCGGCTGCAGTCAACCAACATCTAGATTAAAATTTCATCTCATGAAAAATTTCCCTTGGCATTGTAACTACAGGAGTTCTCTACTGTACAAAACGGTTCTCTGGTTTCGAGTTTAAATTTCTTAATATGGATATTGACTTATTTTAATATGTCCTGAAGATACATTTTTTTCTGTTGTATCAGAGACATCTGGACAGACAGAAAAAGTCTGAACAGAATTAATTAACCATAAAGTTTATTATTTGCTTCTCTTGTGTCTTCTGCACATTGACACGTGAGTGTCTTGTCAATATTATTCATACTAATTAGTCAAATTAATCAGCTACTTGGCATTTTATCAAAAGCTTGTGGCACTTGTTGAATTCATTAACTCATTGCCTTTAATTAGCAATTTGTTGTAGCTGTCAACCTTTAAAAAATTGAAAGGAGAAAGAATATACATAAAAACAACCAAACCATAAGTTTCTCTTGAGAAAATGAAAGACAGTCACATGAATTTTAAAAGAGTAGACAAACATTTGGGGGGGGGGTCACATCAACAAAGTCCTTTTAAATAATATTTAAATCTGTACGAGTAAACAATATAGGGGTATCTTAAGAAAAATGTAAAGATCCAGTTCAAAGCATCAAAATACATTTGTACACATAATTATTGGGATGCGAAAACAATTTAGAAACTGAATATTGAAAAGCTTATCTCCGGTAAGATCACCGAAGTTAAGCAACGTCGGGCCTGGTCAGTACCTACTTGGGTGACCGCTTGGGAATACCAGATGTTGTAAACTTGGATGAACGGGTGATGTAATGAATAATGGCTCGGAGTTTTTTTTTTTTTTTATTATTATTAATCAGAGCTGAGTCAATTCCATTTCGGTTCATCATATTCACTTACGCTCAAATAGCCTTGGGAAAGGTAGGAATCCACTTCTCCCTCAGCTATGTGTTAATTAGTAAGACTTGTATTACTAAACAGTTATTATCTAACAGAATAATCTTAAATTTTAAAGATATTTGCTGGTTTTAAATAATCTTCAAAGGGTTGATAAACCGTAGAAAACCCATGAATTAATGAATGATTATCGGAAAACTAAGACGAGCATACATGTGAAAAGAGAAAAGACATCTACAGAGAGATAAGGTTATTAGATATAATATTAATCAATGTTAATAAAGCTCAACATTAAGCGTATGGCAAAAGGTGAATATACTACTCGGAATCTGTATTTAATTATGAATAATTATGGTTTCCACAGTTAGGTAATTGTAAATGTAAGAATTAAAGATAAACGGTTGAGAAGGAAAAGTAGCAAGACAAAAAAAGGATTTTTTTTCAAAAAAAAAAAAAAAAAAAAAAAAAAAAAAGGTATTACATAATTCAAATATATAAGAAGGATAAGTTCTTCCACAATGTGTAAGTTAATATTATTCCGTTCATCTTCAACGTTATTGATTTGAGGAATTTATTCCATTGGTTAGAGAAGGCAAGTTCCTACTTTTAACGTTCTATTTGTTTCTTTGATAGCCGCTTTCATGTTTGCAAGCAACGGATACTAGAATTAAGATTACCCGTGTCATTCGAGATTACATTAAAAGAGCATTTTCAATATGTGTTTTGGCGTATGGATTTTAATTACGTAATAATTTATTCCTTATTTTGAACCGAAATACACGACCAAAGTAAACAGACTTTCCTATTTAAAAAAAAAAAGTTTATTAAAAACTTTACACAATTAGAAATCATTATGCAAATGGAATTTTAATGGACTTGCTTTTAGATTTTTAATTTTTTTACTACTTTAAAGCTTCGACTTATTTTCACTAACGTGATATTCTGCTTTCAAAACACGAAGTAAATCTTGTCGAAGATTTTATAGACATTTTCCTTATTTCACGGTTCAAAGCAGTCCATATATATTCAGTAGAGTTCATGTCAAAAGAATGACTTGGCCATAACAATCGCTTATTATATTTTTGGAATCCGTGAGAAGGTGTAGTTGAAGAGAACGTGTTTTAAAAAATTGGAACTTTAACAAAAACCGACATGCCTGCCTAACCAAGCCTCTCTTTGCATAGCTTAGGAAGTGATGGATATAGATCTTAAGAATATAGATTGAATGAAGAAAGATAACTGTACAATTAATCATTCGTCAAGTTTCAACACGTGCGTATACGTGGCGTGTAAAAAATCTTACGAGATTATAAGCGTTTTGATATCGAAAATTACGAAGTGAATTCAATCTTCAACGATCGTTCAGGAAATAGGTCTTTTGTCAAAGTTTTTCTTTAGAATATACTGATAAACATATTTCGCAATTTTGCTGCTCATTTTATGAATATTGTTTATTTTTGTGTAGTGAAGACAGCCACTGAAACAGAAATCTTTACACGCGTAAAGCCCTGATCATCCTAGAAACAGGATTCCAGAAAGCATCAGCTCTTGTGGCGATTGAGTCAGCAGTATAAGTTATGCAGCATAACAAACTTGTTCGGTATTTTCCCAGGTATTAATGGTTATCGTAGCTATAAATGACTGCAGACACTGAGCCGGCCTGAATGTCACTTATCGTATACAGGTGTATTATTTTTCTCTCATGTTGTATGCCAGATGTAGAACGTGCTGAAGTTCAAGAAAAATCGTGTGTATGCTCTGTACTATATGGCATCAGATATGAATAAGCACCAGCATTATTGACGTCGGCGTATGAACCGGTGCGTATAAAAGGTCGTTTTAAAGAATACAGTCGGAATATTTCTTTTGATATTCTTTGCCTAGAGTCATTTTAAAATTCCATTCACAAAGAATCTGTTTATTCAAGCTTTGGCAACCATCCGTTAGCGAAGGGAATTCTTCCGTTATCCGTCGACAAACATTTCTAATTCTTAGTATTTGCGAGATACTTTATTACTCTCGATTTTTTCTCAGTGCACAGAATATTATTATATATATATATAATTTTAAGACATTTTTATGTTTATACATTCTTTTTACAGATACAAATATTTTAAGTAAATGCTCTGTTTATAATAAACAGTATTAAACAACATTTACCGGCCTGAATGCCCGAGAAATTTTCACAGAAAATATTCGTCCTCCGACAAGATTCGAACCTGTAACACACACACACACACACACACACACACACACACACACACACACACACACACACAGTGTACACACACACACACACAGTACTTACACACACACACACACGGTGTAACAGTCAACTTGTCCATCCCACACCCACAAAATGTTCAACAGAAAAACTAGACTGAATTTCTTTCTTTCAGGCGCGTTTTGTAGGTCCCCCTTGAGAGGATGTGGTATTATGGAGGATTGGTTGTGCGACGGACGAGTTTTTGTGGTGAATGTGCAAATTGTAATGAGTGAATGGGTCGTGAATCTAATTAGCTAGGTATATGATAGTGAAGACCAGCCTCAACCCTCCCCTTTTTCGGCCCTGTGCCATAATTGTATTATTATATACAATAAATATAATTTCTTTCTTTCAGGTCTTCAAAGACGTTTAACCATCTTGACACCATTTGTCGTAAAATCACTGACAAACCCTTTGAGTTATTCAGCTAAAAAGACAACAGGTTAAAATCGTTTTGTGTCAGCCTCATTGAGCAATGGTGAGAGGTAAAAATTCATTCAGGCCTTCAGTAACGGTACTAACATCCAAACTCTGGCTTCCATCTTCAAAGTCCATTCAAGATCCACCAAGAGAACGGTGAATAAGTGAAAAACTGGATCAGGAAGTTACAATAGCAAGAGGGATCATCATTTCAACTTAGAGCTATTATGAATAAATTGTCGCACGTCCAGATCCAATTTGTGGAAAAATGTTCCTGATAATGACTAGAGGTGGCCGAACCAAAACATGAACAGTTTCTCTACAAATCTAATCAGGACGTGCGACAACTGATACTTAAATAGAAAAATAGAATAGACCGAACTTGTCTGTTGAAAGTGATAAAATTATTTTGTTTAAACTGTCTGCAACCTATTATCAATCATGGTAGATTTTCTGTTATGACACAGTGTCCAACGTGAAACTCAAGTAATTTAATGCTTCTTAAGAAATGATATCATTCAGAAAAGTACATCCTTCACAAAAGACTTCTTTCAATATTCATTAATAGTTATTTGAACAAAGTCTTTTCAAAGACGGATGAATTCCATTACGTACAAGAAAGTTGACTATTTTTTGTAGTTCAATTTTTTTAATAGCGCATTTCCGTCGATTGCACCTCCCCAAGGATACAAAAACATGTAAGCGATTGTTATGACCAAGTCATTCTTTTGATATGAACAATATTTGGGCTCTCCACTGATGTAAGCTTGAATGTAATAATTGCTGAAACAGTGGGAAATGTTGCTTAACAAGCCCGATCGTACAACCGTACATGTTGATAAACATCTGAAGTATTATAAAAAGTGGAGCATAGAATGCGCTCGGTAAAAGATTCTGCTATTTACATTATAAGTTTTACGGGTGATGGGGGTCTTGGATTCCTACTATAGTCTCAACTAGACATGGTACCACAGGCTGATAAATTTTTCAGATCATTCCTTGGAAAACGAATTTCTTGAAGACCAGTTAGTAGAAAATGAAATCCAGGATACATACTTAAACAGTAAATACCAGGTAATATATGTGGATATTGAGTGGCAAAATTTGTTACCCTGGTCTATATATGATTTCTTGCAGGTAGTTTATCTTCTACCTCTTGTAGAGATACTATTACAAAGGTTACTTAAGGTAATCTTAGCTGCCACAGTTAGGGATTTGGAACGCACGTAACTGAAAATGCAATAGAAGACGTAATTATACGTTATCTTAACGGACACCTGAAAAGACACGCCATTTCTTAGTGAAATCTCGATGGTTGTTAAAAGCTCGCGTCTTTCGTCTCAGTATGGGGAAATAGCCTGAAACGTCAATCCAGAGAGCATTAGCTAAACTTGTCAATATGGAGGGTTATTTAATGTGGAATAAACTCAACATGACAATCCCATGATTGAGGAAATAACGAGCTGTATAGTACAAGGTTATCTTTTCTGCTAACATTGAAGACTATTCTAGAGCCAGTCAAGCTGTGATACAGTCTTCTCAGCTGCTGAGAAGTAGTCCCAAACGGTTAACCAGTGTCGTGGATAGTGAAAAGAATTATAGTGATTTAATAAGCGTAGCTTAGATATGGCACAAGGCCGAAAGTAGGGAGCACTTAGAATCAAAGTCACTAACTCGCTTGTATTTATCTATTGAGAGAAACCTGTTAATCATTACACCACGTCGATTTGCGCCAGTGTAAAGAATTATAACTGGTCAAATGGCACATTTATATTACAAAACTCGGATGATTCCTGTTTCTTGGTATAGGAATCTTGAGAAAGTCCAGGAGAACATGGGTGGCAAAATTGAGGATCTTTTTCTCTGTAACAGTTCATTCGGAAGTACTAATGCCAATTTTTCAGTGTTCTAGAGGAAGTGACACCTGAACTGCATCATACTAGAGTAGTAGTGGGCACTATTATAGTTATGAAAAGAAAAGTCACGCACATCATGATGCAGTCTTTCGCATTCAATATCCAATTTTTTTCGTGACAGGAAAAGGAAAAAAAAAACAAAAAAACAACCGTTTGTTCTCATGTAAATATTCAGTAGGAGCAGTTGAGAAAGTGTTTTCTTTTAAATCCACCATTACAAAGAGGAAATTTTACTTAATCCCAGCCAATATTAATGTGTAACCATACCGACTGTTAAGCTTTTAGTCTTTT